TATATATATTATATATATTATATATATTATATATATTATATATATTATATATATTATATACATTATATATATTATATACATTATATATATAGGTTGGATTGGGAGGGCATAGATATAAAGGACACATATATAAGTATATATAGGTTAGATTGAGAGGGTGCAGATATATATAGGTTCGATTGAGAGTTTGCAGATATATATATCGCTTATGTTGACTGCGCATATGTATATATCGTCAAACTTCCATAACTCGAACTTCTATAATTCGAATTTTCTATAACTCGAACTAAAAAGAGTTCAAAAGTGTTTTAGAGAGCAAATTACATACAATTCTGCTTTATAACACAAATAAAAATACTGTCACGTGCCAATAGGAATGTGGGAAAGTGCATTCTATAAGTCGAATTTTTGTTTTAATTATGAATCCATTTTGGTATTAGAGAAAGTCCCTTTTTCCAAAATAACTTAAAATGCTTCTCTTAACGAATATATTGAACTTGACAATGAAATTTGTACATCAAGCTTTTCTACAGATGACGATATTATTGAGCATTATAGCTTCGTATATATCCCATTATAGTGGATCCGATTCTTAGCGCAACGGAAAGTAATGATGAGGGTTCGACGGATGTAAGTGTTCATCAGCCTTCCAAGAATTAAGTAGAAAACTCATTCAAATTTTTATTTGCAAACGAATAATACTACAACTGATGATCACTATAAGTGTTTGAATAAATTGAAATAATTTTTTACTGAAAATAAGAAAAAAAAAATTTAAATCCCTATAAATCACTATAACTTCTGAGCTGTATTTGATTGCAAATAAATAAATATATTTAAATGAAATTCTAGTTTCTTTCAAATATAAAAAAATTCTCTAAGTCGAACTTTTTTTTTGCAAAATGGTACTTCGAGTTATGGAAGTTGGACTGTTTACAGATTGGGTTGAAAGGACGCATATATAGGTGAATTGGGAGCGCGCAGATATATATATAGAGTGGAATGTGCCCCCCAGATATATATATATATATATACATAAATTGAATTGAGAATAAATTGAATTCTAATTCTATTTCTTATTTGTATTATCACATGCTCCTTTTAAGTCAGAGATATTGGAAGATGTTGCAATGGAACCTTAAAAATTTGTTCCTGTATTTTATTTTCAAAAATTGTAGGTCTTCAACTTCAATATGTTTGTTGCGGTTTCTTTTATCTTCTTTTTTCTGTTTATTAGTAGACAAATTCTCTAAAATACGAAATGTTTATAAGCTTGTTCATTAATTTAAAATTTTCTTATAATTTTCCATATTATTGCTCATCGTTAACATTTTCTAGTATATTTTCCAATAAATGTTTTTTAGGTTCCCTCTTTTTTTCCATAACAAAATGTAAATAATTAAATAAAATAAAAAATCAAGCTAATGATATTATTAATTTATGATTACATGTTTATGAAAAAAAAATCACATATTTCTATTAAACAGTTAATAAACTTATTGTTTCAACAAAGAGATATTAATTGATTCTATAATTCATTAAAAGATTTTCCACTTTCTCTAGTAATTGTTTTACCCTATCCACCGTGCACCTCAATATATCATTAATCGGTTTGCTAAATGCACGTATTAGTCATCCGCATTTCTGTTTCATAAGGTTGTTTAATATAGAATGTTGCTTTGTTATGATCTATTGGCTCCTGATGATTGTAGGCTACATGATTTGTGGAATTCATCGAAGACTTCTATTAAAAAAGGTTTTATGTTTATGTAAGACGGCACTTTTTAAAAAGCAGATCTTATATTTATATAGAGCTGACTTTAATAAACTTGATGATGTGATCAATTTGATTTGTGAGTAATTTAAGCATGCAACTCAAAGAGAGAATGATTTTCAATCAATTCGTAAGCCATTGAAATAATAATTTTGAAGGAATGTATTGATAAACAAAGAAACATATGAAAAGTCAAGTGGTTTTAAAGCTGAGTAATTTAGTCTGGGTCTGTGATAGGTACTGACATTCAGAACACTAATAAGAACAACAAGGCAAACAAGACCTTTGGTCTCTTTAACTCTGAAATATGTTTTCCAAACGTATGGTTTCCATAAAACATTCCTTTAATAAATACGTATAAAAAATATTAAAGAAAAATGTGTTTTCCAGTCTCTAGATTGCAGTTGTGATCTTTATTTATTATGTATTATTGTCTATATTTTCAAGAAATTGTCTTAAATGAAGCAAAAATAATCTTTTTTTAATTTATTTATGAAAAATTATGGAACAATAAACAAAACCTATAACCAAAAAAACAAAAACATATTATTTCCAACGAACAAATAATTTTTGTATTATTTAATAGTTTATTTACAACTTAGGGACAGTAGAATGGATAGATAATAGGTGACTGTGAGTGGAAGTGCTGATATTTGTATGAATAAGTCTCTTCTCAACCTCAACTAAACTTATCTAATTAGAATTTAATTTTATTTCTAAATGGTAGATCTCAAACATACTATTATGTATATGTAATATATATCTAAAACCTCTAAACCTTGCTAGTGTTCTTACCATTATATTGGTCTCTAAGTGCTTGCTACAAAAATCTTGTGGTGGCTGTGTAGTCTTTTAAAATAATTGGTGATATTACTTTTAATCACATTAATTTCATAACTAAAAAAAAAAAAATTTTTGCTCAAAATAATAAAAAACATTTTATTTCATTTTTTTGCTTTCTAAGAAATTTAATTTATTTATCTTTCACCTGTTAGAACTAAGTAATAGTAAATTTTTTATAAAAAAGTTAATATATATATATTATATTTTATCATTTATCTAAAAAGTGCGCTTTTTAAAAACACTATCTTTTTTTCTTACAGGTTGAACTGGCATTATGGGATACTGCTGGCCAAGAAGATTACGACAGACTCCGACCACTGAGTTATCCGGATACAGATGTCATCCTTATGTGTTTCTCAGTGGATTCACCCGATTCTTTAGAAAATATTCCTGAAAAATGGACCCCTGAGGTAACAACATTGTCACTAATTGTTAATTAAAAAAAATATTAAATTCAATTTTTTATTCATTTTAGGTCAAACATTTTTGTCCAAATGTTCCAATCATTTTGGTAGGAAACAAAAAGGATTTACGAAATGATCCTAATACGATTAGAGTAAGTAATCAATTAAATTCTCAGTTCATACACTACACAAGTTAATGTTTATTTATTGCTCAACACTGAAGTTGTAACTGTTGTACATGCGTTTATTACTCCTATTATTATATTATTACTCGTACTCCTACGAAAACGACAAGAAAATGTCTCTTAGTACTGACTCATACATTTTTGGTTTACTCTTATGTGGTCATTACTAATATAGCAAAATTATTGCAGTAATTCTTGCATTATCGCATAAATTACTACTCTAGTTGTCTCTCATTATTCTTATGTTTAAATAAGAAAAATAAAAATAAAATTAAAAATAAAATTAAATGTGGTTGCAGAGTTTAGACTTCTTCCGTTAGAAAACTTAATTTTACCAAATTTTTCGACGAAAATATAAACTCGAAAATGGATTTGTTGGAATTTAATAGAAGAATAAATGTCCAACAGTTATTATTATTGGCATATATTTTAACACGTTGAAGACCGCATTGAAAAATCTTATTTCACACATAGGGACCGGCATTTTTTTTTTTGATTGCTAAATTTGATTAAAAGAATTCGTTTTAAAATGAGGCTATGGCAAATTAACTAAGTCCGCTATATGCAGTATCTCTCCGAGGGACCGGCGAATGGAGTACTGTACATAAATTGAATTTAAATCATGCACACAGGTGTACAAGCAATCCCCAGGTAAAACATGTCGTGTGAGCATCAGTGAGCACGCGGGCCGGTAATGTTGTTACGGATGCGGTGCGGTGCGGCATGCGGTTTTTAATGTGTTAACAATGAGTCACCCAGCATGATACATCTTCCTCTCTTAAATTTCTAATTGAACCTGCTGTGAGAGTCTTCATTTTAGACTGCTTACTGAAAGAGTCCACACTTTAGTCTCTTTATTGAAAGAGTCTACACTTAAGACTCCCTACTAATGGAGTAGTAAAGGAGTATAATTTCTTGACTTTCGATTGATGTTTGTTGTTTTCAAACTCTTCTTAACACCTTCTGGCTAGAAAATTGTCCTTATATTTTTACTTAAAAATTTATGGTCTTCTGGAATTATTACACAAATTGCTTCAAACGCCTCCCTCGCTTTTTTTGAATGGTTTCTTCAAATTTCAAATGACACATAGAATGTGAATCCACACTTTAGGCTATTGCAATAAATAACCTTAAGTTTGTAGTTTATATACCTAATAATAATAATAAACTTATGTATATATTAAACTTATGTATATTTTTAGGATCTTGCAAAAATGAAACAAGAGCCAGTCAAACCTCAAGAAGGTCGTGCTATGGCAGAAAAAATTAACGCGTTCGCATATTTGGAATGTTCGGCTAAATCCAAAGAGGGCGTTCGAGACGTTTTTGAAACAGCTACTAGAGCTGCATTGCAAGTCAAAAAGAGGAAGAAGACCAAATGCCTTTTGCTCTAAAAGAGCAAAATTAGAACACACCAGATATATACAACACAAATCGTTAAATTTTTACTTTAATTACTTTTTCAAAGTTGAGTATCTATTTTAAAGCGTATTTGATTATTCAATGATTCATTTTAATTTTATTAAAAACAAAAATTAATTACACAAATTAAAAAATTTTTACCATAAAGTATATATGTACCACAATTTGAATTGTTCAAAATGAATATGGCGAAAAGAAAGAACTTCAAAGCAAAGTGTAAAAATAAAATATCCTTGGAAACTATATCCAAATAAAATATATGAATAAAAACAGTAAATAATCTAAATATAATTTTCAATATCGAACACAAAATGAAAATCCAAATCCTTAAAAAACAAAACAAAAACAACACAAGAAAAAAAAAATAAAAATAAAAATCACACACAAAACAAAATTAGACAAAAATTAATATTTTCTAATTGCTTTTTCTAATTAACGGTAACGGAACTGTAAAAATTGTTTGTTTATGTATTTTTGTTATAATTTAATTTTTAATTGATAACTTTTTCAATAAAGCAGTAAGCCGCCAATGAAATTTAAATAAAAAATGTTTAACTCATAAAAACCATATAATAAATTAAATAACAAAAATAATATTTTTTATATACTAAAAGAGTGAAATACAAATTTATCTCTTTTGAAACAATAAGTGAAAGTGAAAAACACAAAAAATCTATTGCGATTTTATTGTATTTTTTATATTTGTCTTAATTTTTTTGTAATATTTGAATATTTGATTTTTTTGTATGAATAAAAAATATGAAAAGAAAAACAAAAAACAAAAACAAAAAAATACAAATTTAATAATTTTTGCTACTTTAAATTTTATTATATTATAAACAAAATAATAATATGTAATATGTATTTACGCTACTATACAACAATTTACAGTTACTACAATTTACAATGTTTACTATTTTTGAAATTGTATTTATATTTTTTCTAAAAGCAGTAAAAATATTGAATTATTTTAAGCAATTTGTGTTCAAAAGTCCAATGTTTCCAAATTTATTATTTTTTGCTTAACACACAAAAGTCGTATCTGTTGTTTCTATTCTAAATTTGATTTTAAATTTTAGTTCATAAACATTATTCGATATGTTTCTCCTAAATTAATGAGTTTTGAATTATTTAAATTAAATTATGATTTCGTGTAATAAGGTTGGTGTTCGTTTTTTAATTTAATTTTTACGTGTCTGTTATGCTTTTCGCATAATAATCTTATAATAAATATTTTACTAATACATACCTATTATATAAAATAAATATAAATAAAAAATCAAAAAACTTAACTTGAATGTTTTTCATTTTTTATTTGACAAAAAAAAAAAAATACTAAAACTCCAAGCAATCTATTAGGGATGATAATATAGTAATTATATTATTTCGATATAAGAGTTAAGTGCCATTGATGTTATTGTAGACCACGGATATCTTTTTTTTGGGGGGTGGATGGAAAGCATCGAAAGCCACAGAGTGTGAGACTTATGAATGATTATTAAAGTCTCTTTGTGAAGTCCCTTTGGAGGGTGTTTAGTTTCTATTAGGATTTTCTATTAAATCTCTTATATTCTATTGACGATCTACTTAGACCATAACCTGAATTTTTGTGATCATATCGAAGTAATGCCGCTTCTCTCAAAGGCCTGTGTGAGCACCTTTAAATAAATAAAACTTATAAATAATATATAATATCGTAGCTAGCGACGAGTGGCTCCGGGACGTAGGTCTGACCGTTCTTGGAACACACCTCATTGAAGTGGCCAGGTTTTCCGCTAACGTTCAATTACACCCCATTCACTTAAACCTCTCATTTTATTTTTTCACCCCATCTCACTCCAACCACTACCCATCCACTTCCCTACCCATGTGATTGTCTTGTTTATTCTTTCATGTTATCTGCTTACAGGTCTAAGCGGGTTACAACAACAAAAACAACACCAACAATGATTATCGAAAATTGCAGCCACGTTTAGCGGATATAACTCCATTCTAGTAATAAAGGGAAGAGAGGAGAGCTGATAAGTTTTATATCTAGCGAGCTAGATTTATGTAAGGCAGAAAGCATGGACTAGGTTATATGTGGTGAAGTATATCTGTGAACCGCGGAGATCTATCAAGTAAATAAGAAGAAAGTAAGAACAAAAACGTGATAGTAGTGATAGTAGTGTGAGGAGAAAATTGTTAAGAAGTATGGCGAAAGTATGGATTTGGGGATGGGTAGAATTTAAATTAAAATCAACCTGGGTAAAGATGGAGGATTTAGTCACTTTAATGGGGCGAATTTAAAGATCGATTGGAATCAAATTATTATGTATATTGGGAAGTATAATTGATAGATCTATTCTTTAAGGTAAGCAAATTTCATTATGGATAAAATTCAGACAAGATTAAAGTGTAATTAATAGATCAATTCTGTATAAGATATATATCTCACCATGAATATAGTTTAGATAAAAGAGTCGTGTCATTAACAGAGCTATTCCGTGTTAGACATAAATTTCACCATGAATATATTTTAGATAAAAGATTTAGATGGTATCAATTTTGAGGGCATCACAATGGGCAACATATGCCTCCGAGTGGAAGTGCTGACAACGGTTAGCACGCGCCTTCCGAACCTAACCTAGATGGTATCAATTAAACTATACTGTGACGGAAAAAATATCAACATGGATGCAATATTTGCCAAAAATTTCTTGAATAATTTTTATCACGTACAAAGCAGGCATAGTTTGTTTTATTGGGAGAGACCGTTGAACAATAACAAACTATATACTGAAAAATAGCTGAAATAACTGTATTTTGTTGTATTTTCATCCTTTTTTGTTAATGTCTTTTATAACAACTTAAATTATTTGCAGAATTTGATTTTTAAAGTCACTTATGATGAAAGAAACAATATTTTTTAATAGCACATATTGCCTTAATAGAGCGGCTTATTGAACAGTAGTAAATTACAACAACAAAATTTTATTATTTATTAATTAGTTGAATTTTTGGCTGACTATTTGAATTATTCTAATCTAATTTAGTTTATTCAGTAGCATTTTTTAAGTATGATGGATGTGAAAGATTTTAAGAGATAGAAGTGATCCATTTACCATATCTGACATTAACTTTTAAGCAGTATTTTGGACTTTCCGAGACACTTTGTCACAATTTATTGTTTGTTTTCTAAGTACATTGTGATTAATCACATCTTGTTTATCGTGCTCCATTCAATATGTATGTAACTGACCTAATACTCATTATGGTGGTACATAGCTTGTCTTATAAATAACTGTGGTGAGTTTAAAATTGATGTGGTGAGCAAAAGCGTTTTCTCTTTGTCATAAAATTATCGAAACAGAGTCATAGTTATGGAATGCAATAAATGGAGTATATATCTTTTATAATTGATGTCTACAACCAAATCCGCAATTGTGGATCATCCTCATGAAATCTAATATTCTAATTTCATTCGTATCCCATGATATTATGGACTTTTTTTACTTCTTTACACAAAATAAAAAACAAAACTAAAATATTTAAAATAATGCACAGATCATGTATTCTTTTTAAATTAGAGCAAAATCCCCGTGTTATAATAATAGTTCTATATTTATATCATTTCCTTCGGTTTTATTGTTTGTAAAATTAAGAATAAAATAAGCAAAAACACTATAAAGCATTAATAATGTTAGGTTGTGGGAGATAATAAAGTTAACGATATATTAAGTCCCTTGGGATTATAAGAGGTGCAGCTAGAGATAACAAATGTTTTCATTGAAATAAAAATAATCTCCATAGCCGTTGTAATTGAAGACAAGAAACTTATTAGGAGAAGTGGAGATATTATAAATTCTAATTAGAAAATATCTTTTACTTTACTAACAAAAGTACTAAAGAATATAAGTATCTTGTATCATATTATTTGACCATATCATAATAAACATCTGTATATTTTATATGTTACATGGTTGTGTAAAAAGCTTAAAATCATTGAAACGATCGAATTTTTATGAGAAATAGCCATTAAGCTATGGGCTATGGATCAGGGTAAACCAACTGCCAAACAAAGATCAAGTTATGAGGGTTCAGTCTACTAATGAGGCGAAGACTTCGATATAAATCATTATTTTTGCTGATGTTTGGGTAGCTAAGGTGGATTATGTCCTATTTCGAATCGAAACTTGATTGCGATATAAAAAGGAAACTCATATGGGACAAGTATCTATAAAATGTTTTAAATATAGCAACGCGTTTTGTTTAAATAAAGATCCATAAAGTGTTAATTAAAATTTAAATAAATATTTGGACAAAGTATAAATTATTGTAAATATGAAAAATTCACACATAATGGTAATTATTTTACTATTTCTATGAAGTATATAGTATATACGAGTATATTTTTGCATTTAAACACATGGTGATGCATATATGAATCATTGTTATTTTTCCAAAAATCATACCGTATATACCTAAAATTTGTGAAAATGGCAGGAAGAGACTATTTCTGTAATGAAGTTCCAAATCTAAAAACATTTTTTTGTTTAATTATAAAATCTTACACGCTAGGGTTAATATATTTACATATACTTGTTGTTATCTTCGAGGAAATTATTCTAAAATAATCAAATCTATTAAAAACTGTGTTAAGTCTTATAGCAGCACAGTGGGAAGCCCATCAGCTTAAGAAAAAAATGCTAGGATCATTAGTTATATTAAAAAATTTGATATAAACAGCTGTATGGTCAGCTAAAAAATTAATTAATTAAAATAATATAAAAATAAGTTTTGTTATTGTAATTCACTACTTTTCGAAATCTCTCCATTAAAAAATTTTAAAATATAGAGTTGCTTTTTTACTCCATTAAAATAATTTTTAATATAAAGCACCATACACCTAACCTAACCTTACTTATTTGAGTATAAAAACGTTCGCATCGTCTTAGATTTCAGAATAAATATTCGCTTCCTCATGTTAGAGCTTTTTCTAACTCATGGAAATTGGCATCTATTACGTCTATAAGTATCCTTTTGTCTTCATAGTTCTGGTAACTTAGATCACTAGAAAGAGAAAAGGAAACATAATTCAATAAATTAAAAATTAAAAATAGTGAGAGGTATATACAGATAAGTAGATTCATGAGGTAGACCCGACCAGTTCTGACCTATTAAGTATGTCCAGTGTAAGTTTTTCGGGTGAGTATTAACTTTCTGCATTCATTTAACCGCCTTGTTTCTTATATAAATTTTGCTCGTTTTTACTTTTTGGTCTACATTTCTTTTGGTCTCCTTTCTTACGTATTAAAGAGTGCGTGTTGATTATTTGTCTTAAAGTATTGTTTTAGGGTATCTGAGGATGTTATACAGTTGTCAATATAGTATTCATTTAGTGTAATTTTCTTACACTATTTTCTAACTCATCTTATTCTTACAAGCAAAGATTAAATTACTTTTATGTAATGTATATTGTATTTAAAGCGGAGAAAGAGATATCAAAAATCATATTAAGTGTAAATATATATTCTTGATCGGCATGACAGAACAAATTTATTTTATGATAATCATTTATTCTTTTGAATATAGGTAATTTACTTAAACTAACAAAACTTATTAAATTAAATTTACAGAGAGTTTTTATGAATGCTTCAATCCATTATTTATAACCCACTATCATATCTTGAAGAAAAAAATATCTCGAAGAAAATAGATAGGCATACTCTCTGCAAAAATAACATCTATATTGTGTCTATAAAGCGCTAAGTTAGAATCGGCAAAAACCTCTCCATCCTGGTGCCTCCGCCAAAACTTGGCGAAGAACTATTGAAGGGGATCTTAATGAGGTAGATTAATCGTGTAACACAATATGCAGAAAAGCAAACAATAGAGTAATATTTAGAGGATTGCCGTTAGTGGTTTCTTCTTCTTCTTGGTTCCGTTAACGGCTTGTGGAATATAGAGCCTCCACAACTCCTTTGAATCTTATTGTTTTCAACAACTTTACAGATGTCGTTCAATGTATAATGTGCGGCGACAAGTTCTGCGTCAATTGTTCTTCTCAATGTTTTCGATGGCGCCGCTATTGTTCACCTTTGTCCTTAATTCTTCGTTAAAAATCTGACTTGACGACCAAAGTAACTGTTTAGCACTTTGTTAAATTCAAACCTGCATTATACTAAGATAGTTCTTGCTGTATGTGTAAGAGATTTTCCATCTTTAAAGTTATCAGACAGAGGTCTTTTGAGAAACTCGTTGAGCTGGTTGAGTTGAAAACTCAAAGACAATAGCGCCTCAATATGAAAAAGTGAATTCCTTTGCGCATAGTCGACTTCACTGGTGTTATATCTGTTGCAGTAGGAGTCAGTATATGCTTGATATGAAGAAAGGAAGGAGGAGGCCTTCCTCCTAAACGTTTGAATTAAGAAGGAAGGGAATACAACATAAATTACTAATTAGATTGTAAGTGGAATGGGTTGTTGAAGATTTCTGAAATGTTTTTTTTATATTTATATTCTTTCTTATTACAATCTAATTAGCCATCATATGGTTATAGTATTTAATTGTGTAGAGTTCACTCTTTGTATCAATTAGGTGTTCTTCTTATTTTAATTTTGCATTTTATATGTAAATGATTTTAATATCGTCAATTTTTGCTTTAATAAATACTCTATATATTGTTATATATATATCATAAATATATCAAAAACATTTTTTTTAAATAACGGGTGCCTCATATAAATTGGATTTACTACGACACTTGTTCACATTTTGTCTTTCGTTATATCCAGAGTATACTGTATACCACACATATTTTTTCTATATAAGAAATGTTTATTATAAAATACATTGAAAATGTGAGGGCATTAAAGCTTTCGTTATATCGCGACCCACTTTTTTCCTATAAATATGTCGCTAATACTTCTTAGAAGTGCTAGACTTTGTCTTTAATTGATAACAAAATTAAAATACAGACCATAAACTACTTAAAAAATTCGATTATTTCCTAAGACCACTAATGATGAGTACGTGGCAATACTCGAATCAATGTCATATGGTCAGTCAACCGGTCAAATATGTCATATGTGGACCGGTCAAATATGTAGACCGTCTCTTATTATAATATCTAGGTCTCTTATTGATAAATACTTTTTCAACCGAGAAGGTCGATACTGGCGCGACATTTCAGGTAAACGTCAGGCTAAAGAGCTGGTTTATCCCTACAGTTACAGTTATGGTAAAGTAGCCTTTTTCAGCAGAACAAAGTTGAGGTGTAACGGGTCACCCTGGACTACGTTATCACCTTCACAAAATGGGTCTGTGCGAAGAGATAGATTGTCGACTCTGCTAGAAGCAGACGAAACTTCCAGTCACATTCTCTGTGACTGCATAGCCTTGATCTGCGCCAGGAGATTACTGGGTAGAGAACTACTCTCTGCTTCTGACATTAGGAGGTCAATGTCGACGGCAGACATTCTTGCTTTCATTCGGAAGGCGGAATATCTTGTTCGGTTAGGGTCTGTTGTAGTCCGTTCACTCCCATTTCTAGTAAAACACATTTGTTATTTAAGTTTTTCACAATTACTGTGTACACAATATTATCAACTTTTTATTATTATTCAATTTATATAATATTAAATACAAAAACGATTGCTGGTAACATTATTTAAATAATTTTCAATATCTTTTTTTTTTCTTTAGGAATACATACAACTTTTTTGTGCTTCAATAGGACTTTTTGCTATAATTTTATCTGTCGACATTTTTCCTCACAAAGCCTCACAAATTTATTTATTAAATTTTTATTTGATATTTATATTTATTTATATTAGTTTAAAATTTATATTTTGATTTCTTCTATTATATATTTATATATACTTTTTATATATTCAACTTTTTATAAAAACAATCTTTATAATAATTTTCTGATACGAAAATAAAAAAAATTATTAATGAAATAATTAATGCAAGTGTAATTAAATATGTTTTTAAGAAAAATATATTGATTTTACAACTTAACAACAACAATATGAATGAAAGGAACTGTTATGTATGTATTAGGAATGAATGTCAATATTGCCAGTTTTATATATTCATTTGTATAAATACAATTTTTCATATTGAAGAATTTATTTTTAATGTCACATGCTATAAATTATACATTGAAACGATAAATATTTTATAACGAAAACTTTTTTGTTTAAAACAAACAATATCACGTAAATATTATTTTAAAAATAATAATGATTACGATTTACAAACAATAAGAACAAAATAAAAAAATATATATTTTACAAATTACAATAAAAAAATGTCTATATATATATATATTTAAATAAAACCTATACATATCTATATAACAAATATTGTACTACTTTAATTTAAAGCTAACATTACTTAAGTATTTTTGTTTTGTTTTGTATTATATATACCAAATATATTATTAAAACTTAAATCGATTTCAAAGACATGCATTTTTTCTTTAAACGAAAATTAATTTTTCACTTTTAATTTGTTCCCACTAAAATTTTTTTTTAAAAAAAATTTAATTTAATATATGAACCGATTTAGTTTCTTCAATTTATTTTAATTTTTCATAATTTTCTTGAAAAATAAACAAAATTTAATTATTGATTGACTATTGCATGTTTTAAGTTTAGTTTTATTTTAATTTTTGTTTATATATATTTTTGTTGTAGTAATATAAATTTTTAATTAGTTATTTATTAACTTTTAGTATAAATATTTTAAAGAGTTTTGGTACTTTTGATTCTTTGTTTTTTGTTTTTATTTGTATACTGTTGAAAAACAATATTGCTTAAATATTTTCCATTTCAGTTGTTTTGATTTTCTAATATCTTATAAAGAAATTAACAAATACATTTTTGGTTGGCTCAATATTTGAAAATTAAATAATTATCAAAAATATTGTCTCGAAAGTTGATTAACAGTCAAACTGCATTTTTGAACAATTTAAATATTAAAAATTAAAAATGTAATATAAATCATATAATTGCTATTAGACAACATTTTGCTAATATAACTAATTAATCACATATAATTTCTTTCTTATATTATTGTTATAAGCAGGATAGTAGTTTGTTATATATTACAAAAATTAAGAAATTAGTTAGTAAGAAGTTTTATTTTAAAAGTGCATGGCTACAAAAAGCTTCATTTGGCCATTGATGTTCTTTTTTTTTAAATAAGTTATAAGCGGAGGCTAAATATTTGTACAATAAAATAAATCTATAAAAAATAACAAATAAGACATGTTACATTTTTTTGTATTTATTATAAATATAAATTATTTTTTTTTCTTACTTTAAAAAATCTATACTTTTGTGCATATCATTTGGATTATAAATTTTTTCGTTCAGAATTTTTTTGTTCTAATAATTAATTGAAATAGTTTTAAGCTACTTTAATAAATTGTATTTTCTAATAAATAATATATATATATATATATTCTGTAGGTAACAGAAATTAATTTGTTGTTGGGAACTGTTCTTGTTTTCTCAGTAATAAGTTTTATATATAGTATGTGCTAAAGCTTGAAGTATTTTCAAATAGTTATTACCCTGTTTAACAAAATTTAAGATAGTCAAAGCAAAAATTATAATTATAAATAACACTTTTCTAAACTATACTTGTTGCATTGTTGAAGTCTTAAACTATATACCAACATATACATAAATTTATATTAAATAAATATAATTTTAGTTTAGTTTTTTTAGTTCAAATTTCTGCGCCGTCGGAATACTAATGCAAAAATAGAGCGTATACGCCACCAACGGCTGCGTCGTCGCGAGTTTAGTTTTTCGGAACTTGTGCCATTACCAAGTGCCTGTATAAATAAATAATTAGTGACATATAATCAAATAAAATATAAATAATTTTTATAAAAAAATTTTTACCCTCTGTTGTTCTTTACGTCTTATTTCACGTACTAGCGTGTAGAAGGCTTCATCAATATAATGTCGAAGAGCAGCTGATGTCTCGAAAAATGGGCAACCATATTGGTTTGCCAGATTTTTGCCTTCCTCTGTAGTCACCTTTAAAATAAAAATTGTATAGATAACGTATACTGCTCTTTAATGTTTTATTTTTTTCATACTTTACGCTGAGATTCCAAATCAAGTTTATTTGCAATCAAAACTAATGGTATATCTTCGGAGAGTCGTACCCGTTGTATCAATTTTCGATACTCCGTAGCCTCTTGAAAACTGTGACGATCTGTTACAGAATAACATATGATGAAACCTTCACCACATCGCATATACTGATCACGCATTGCAGTAAACTCAACCTGGCCAGCAGTGTCTAGAATATCTAGAAGAGCGGCTTCTCCATCAATAACAGCCTGTTGCTGATAAGAATCTTCTGCAAGAATTGAAATATATTATTGATAAATGTTTGAGAAAAAAAAAAGTATATTTGATGAACTATAATATACTCAAATCTTTCTAATAATATAAATTATATTATTTTATATAAATATATCTTAGAACATATTAGGAATTCTCCTGATGAAGGCAAAAGCGAATTTGCCGTAATACGTATAGAAATATTCAAAAAATTAACACTCCAAATAAAAGTTAATATTCTTCAAAAAACAAAACCGGCTTTAAAAATATATTTATTTTTATTATAAATAAATCATTGAATTTTTTGAAAAAATATATTTAAAGGCGAATTAGAATTTGCTCATCTTCATTTAACACTCAGACATCTTCCATTAAAATAAACTGATAAGATTCTAATCTTCTTCCTTATCCTATGTAACTCCGCTTAGAACCATACCATACCAACTACCTCCCCATTCCTCTCTGTTCCTTTTATGTAAGTTTGTGATCCATTTTTGTACTTGTTTTTAGGGTTCTATTGGCTACAACAACAATTATCCACTGATGGTTTGACGTTAATAGCAAAGACATTGTTTTTAATTGATGAATGGGTACAATTCCAATTGTCCGGGCAGGGCAAATTGATGACAGATTTTAGTAAATTGTTGTTGCTGTTGTTGTGATATGAGTTAGTGCTATTGCGCATTCTTACTTACTCTATTTTATTTTACTCTTTTACTCACACTAAACTTTAACTATACTAGAATCATTATCATTTATTTATTTTCTAACTGATGACGGACCGTAGATCAGCATATCTTCCTGTGCGTCCTGAGGTGGACTTAAGATTTTAGTAAAGATACTAAGAATAATTTTTTACAGTGGGCTATACGTCAATATAATAAAGTTCTTAAAATTTTGATCTTTTTTGATTTCTTAACAAGACAAAGCTCTGTTTGCTAACTTGGTATTTAATAGCACAGATTGTCTAGTCAAATTTTATGTGAATGTTCGGATAGGTACTTGTTCGGTCAGATCATAGATACTAGAGTCTGATTATAGAAAAATTAGAAGAAATCTTTCAAATAGTACTAATATCATTAATATTTATTATCTTTATTATCTTTTTAATATTTATTATCTTTATACACGCTTTTTCTATTAACGAAAGCTGTTAGACGAGATCCGTGAATCACTAAACTACATCTCAAAGGCACCTATCTAATAAAAATTTTTTTATCAAAATATTTAGCCTCAATTATCATACCAGTCTCCATTTCTAATGATGATTGATATTTACATTATATAGAAGTATTCCATTTGTACATTGGAATGTCAGAAATCTATATCAAACAAAAAAGTAAGGGTAATTAATATCAAAGTACAAGGCAAAATGCCGGTGGAATACCAGCACAGAAAAATGAGAAGCAGTTAAGAATCTAATACTCTTTTCAGATACGTCAAACAAAGACAATCCCCATAAAATTGGTGCTCGTTCAAACTTCATTTGGAAAAAATATAAGTTTCTTTAGGTACAGAATGCAGTCTAAAATAATTATATACATATACTCTTTTTAGTTCTAAGTTCCAGAATTATTATAAAACAGTATTATACTTTGACCGCAGAAAACAAGTACGAAATAAAAAAGCGTCTCTGCAGCTTTCTAAAGAAGAATTTATTGAAGATAAATTGTATTTTTTCTTACTGTTAATTTGAATGTCACCATTAAGAGGGTGTCACCTATAAAAAGAGATCACAACATGTTATAGGATAACAAGGGATGATAGACAGAATAAAGATATATTGATAGAAATCTGCTTTATAAATCGACTAATGATTCAGATCGACTAAATTCTAGCTCTCCAACTTCGTTGAAGGGAGCCCCATCAACAAACAGAAAATCAGAAATTAAATTATTACTAGTAATTAATATTATTACCGGCTTAAAACAAAAGTGGGTGTACCATTTATAAGTAATGTAATGAAATGGAAAAAATTTAAAGGATTATACCAGACATCAACAATAATGACGAACTAAACAACATAAATTATTAGGCATATACGATTGGATATGTCATACTTGAATAGAAAGAATGAAAAAAACAATTAGAAAAACACTGCGGAGCACATATATTGAAATAAAAAAGTCATCACTTTATGAAACAGTTAATAAAATATATATCACTTAAATAGTGGGTTAAGATGTTACAAACCTACTGCTTACCGATTCAAATAAATCATTGAAAAATATATCGAAAAAATGTGCACATGGAATTTGACATGGTATTGAGAGAGTAATTTTGCTCTAACTGACCGAACAAATCAATTGCTTTGGTGCGGATCATAGTTTTTCCGATTCGCTTCTGTTGCAATATGACTTGAAACAAAGCCAAATAAAATCATGTTAAACAGTACAAGTAATCGTAACACTATTCCAAGTAGTGCTTTTTTTGATTAGGATCAGAAACGGGAGATATTTATATATCATCTTTACAGAGAATATAAGTCATTATTATTTGTAAAATGGATGGAAAGCAAAGTAGTAAGTCTTCTTACAAACTTTAGGCTGTTGGATTTGTATGCCGTATACAATGTAGTATCGGATTTCTCAAAGTGGACGATAACGCCCATTTGTGGGCGTTTGTGGAGCCATAAGGAAGGCAATAGGGGCCTAGAAAAAATTAGGTGGACGTTGAGACTATACAGATTTTATAAAATTCCGTTTTAATTGCTTCCATTAAATAGAAAGTCTCATTTTAAATGTAAGTTTAAAATCAAAAAGAGGATAAGACTTAAATGGCATACTAAAATTATATTTAATAAGAACGATGGTGATTTTCAACATATAAAGTTAAAAATAAAATGGTGAAGGAGGAAGTAAAAACTTATGAATTCTTAAAGTGGACGATAGACAAAATTAAGTTTTAGAACCTCTGATGTTGATGAATAAAATGGTATATTTCAAACAAACGGACTGTTGGAGACGATTAAATCGATTTGACTTATGAAGGAATTATTTGATATATATGGTCTTCATTGTTAACAAAACTAAATTAAATTTAATTTCTGAAGTCAATTATGACGAAAGAAACTATTTTTTTAATTAAAAAATTATAACAAAATTCATATTTTTTTAATTAATTAGATTTTTTGCTGACTATTAAACCACTGACCATAGAGTTTTACGAAATACTCACCATCAGTGGTCTGTTTGGAAATATTTCTTATATTAAAAAATTTGTAAATAATATTTTACAATGTAAGTACCAAGGATTAAACTCGTAGGCTGCCAAATTTGAAGTTCAGAGTCAGGGTTTATTACCCAATTGATACAACTACCAACTGACCCAAAACCGTGCTTAACTTTATTGTTCTTACTTGGAGTTTTGTTGATTTGCAGTGAGAGATAATTGACAAATTCATTTGCTCTGTTGCAATAAAATGGTATTATAAATCAGTTATAGAATATTCGAATAAATTAATTATAGTTTTTTTAAATTGTTAAACTTTAGTACGATTCTTTTTGTGGATATAAAAAGGAAATTGATTTACTTTTTACTGATACTGATGTGACGGATACAAAAATGATAAAGGAAAACGAATATACTGAGAAATATATTTAGGGACTACTTAACTACTTATAACTTACCAATTGTTGGATCATGGTAGTCCAAAAAACTATGGCTTACAAATTGTAATGTTACAGCTGTAGTAGGAGCAATCCATAAACAAATGATGTATCCAATCCAAAAAAAATATTTGTACAACACATGTAATGAAATTA